TTGTCTTCCTGGTGTTGAGTTGTATGAGTTCTTTGTATATTTTGGAAATTAAACCCTTATCAGATGTAATATTGGAGAATATGTTTTCCCATACAGTACGTTCCCTTTTCATTTTGTTCAAGGTTTCTTTTGCTGCACAGAAGTTTTTTATTTTGATGTAATCCCAATTGTTTATTTTTTCCTTTGTTTCCCTTGCCCTAGGTGATGTATTGGTGAAAATACTGCCACGTGAGATGTCTGAGATTTTACTGCTTATGTTTTCTTCTAAGATTTTTATGGTTTTGTGACTTACATTTAAATATTTTATCCATTTTGAGTTTATGTTTGTGTGTGGTGTAAGTTAGTGGTCTAGTTTCTTTTCTTTTCTTTTCCTTTCTTTTCTTTTCTTTCTTTTCTTTTCTTTTTTTTTATGTCCTTGTCCAATTTTCCCAGCACCATTTATTGAAGAGACTATCTTTATTCCATTGTTATTACAATACTATTGGCTGTATGTTACATCCCCTTGACTGTTCTATAAATACCAGTTTTCTTTTTTTGTTTTGCTTTGTTTTTTGCATGAAGTACAATTATCTTTATGAGAACCAAGATGACAATAGTTAAAAAAATACAATTGGTATTTCACAGCATTGCAAACAAAACATGAAAAAGTCAGCACTTGGAAATCAGTGGAAATTTATAACACTGTGAATTAACAGGCTTTTTGGAGCCTGTTGGAAACCTAACCACTTTTTCTACAAGAGAGATAGAAGTTTCTATGAAAGATCAACTGGGAAGGACAGATATACCCTTCTAGCCCAGTTCCAAGGCTTTTCCATTATGAATTTTTAGACTCTGAGCATTTCTTTTTCAGACTGTTTTCAGAAACCAGCTGGAGTTGGACTGGATCTGACTTGGAACCAGAACTGTGTCTGGAAAAGAACTAGGTCCCACAGTAAGCGTATTTACTTTAACTCTATATCTGATGGCTCTAATATCTTAGGCCCCAATGAGTCTTTTTCTATTGTGATTCTGATGGCTTTTGTTAATTTTTTCTTGTATTCTTGTGTACTTGGTTGTTTTTTATTGTGTGCCAGATAGTGTATTTTATAAAACTTCAGAAATAATTTGGAGCTGATGTTATCTCTCTCGAAAGAAAATTTGTATTTGTGTCTGCTAGGCACCTTGGGGTGTTAGCACTCTGGAATTACCTTAATCCACTTTTCAGTGATTGACATTACTAAAACTTAAACTGAAATCCTTGTGAAAACCTGTCTACCTCCCTTGACTTTGACTCTGAGGTGCAGCTCTTCCAGCATCACAATCGAAAGGCATTGAATTTCACCAAGTATACCCTTAGCAAGATTTAGATTCCATTATCTATCTTTCTAGCCTCCAAATTGTTCAAAATTCTGCACAGCCTTTCAACAGTCCCCTCAATAATTGTATATGCTCCATTGGAAAAAGTGGTCTTAGCACTAAGCTCAACTTTCCCCACTCTTATTTTGAACTAGTTATTCTTCACTATCTTGATAGCCTTCTAGTGCCTTCAGGATAATTAATAAAAGATGGTTTGTCCAGCTTCACCAGATCAGCAGAAGGACTGGTTTCATTTACTCATCTCTCATTTCCTTATAACTCACTATTGAGACCTTTTGGTAAATTTTTGTTGACATATACCATATCTATAGAAAAGTACCCAAATCATAAATGTTCAGTTCAACAAATTTTAACAAAGTGAGCAAGTAACAAAACATTAACAGCACACTGAAAGCTTTCCCCATGCCCCCATCTAGTCAATAATGCATCCCAAGGGTAACTACTATTTTGACTCCTAACACCATAGATTAGGTTTGTGTGTTTTTTAACTTTATGTAAATGGGTTTACACAGTATATATTCTTTTAATCTTTTATTGCCAGCATTGTCTGTGAAATTAATCTATACTGTTGCATATATCTACTGTAATTTATGAATTTAAACTTCATATATAAATATATTGTATTTTATTTATTCATTCTACTGTTGTTAGATATTTGGGTTGTTTCAAGTTTGGGGCTAGTGTGAAAAGTGCTACTACGAAAGTTCTTATATGTCCTTTGATGAACATATGCATGTATTTCTGTTGTGCATAAAGTAATCAGTTGTGTATATTTTTAGTCAAAATTAAAATTTGGAGCCTGGAATATAGTGTACTCAGCAAGGTAAATGTTGCCTTGTGGAGGCCTGTCTGGGAAACCAAGTGGTCTTGCTCAAGAGACAGATCTATTCATCTCTATGTCCTATTGACCTTAACATTTGACATTGCAGCTAGCATATGCTTTGCATTAAATCCCATTATCAGAAATGACCAGTGGTAACATTTTGGCAAGCATCATTCCAGAAAACTTATACATATAGAAGCATGTACAAATATATATTTAAAAGTCGTATTTCCAAGAAAAATGAACAGAGGCAATAAATAAATATTTACAATCTCTCTTTCTCCATGCTTTATTTCATGAAATCTGCTTTCTCATCAGTCAGAGAAAGATAATGGATATTAGTAGCTGAAAAGCAGGGAAATGAAGAGATGGGCTGTTTCCCTGCATTCTAGGAGAAGACGAAGAAGTATAAATAGACATAGTTGCTCCAGGAAATTAAAGAAAGGCAAATTTCAGCAAAATTAAAATACATTTTCTTTTGGTTTCTAGCATTGGCATAGAAAAAAAAAAAAAAGAATGACAGGTTTGTTGTTCTGGGGAGAAGGAAGAGGCTGGTATACTTTTTCATCACTGCTGGAGGGAGGGGAATTTGGGGACCATGGCTCAATGGTTACATGTATCTCAGGTGACCAAGAATTGTGGAGAGGTGGTACTTTTGGTCCAGCCATCAGCTTCCTATTGACCTTAGAGAGACGTGTTTGTAGCCAAGTAAAAAAGGAAGATACTGTTCTGGCTGTGTGCAAGTTAGGGTGAGAGTGAACCTTGTTTTTAGTGTGGGGCCAGCGTGGGGATGAGGGCAGAGGCCTGAAGGGGCCAAGTCAGCTTTCCCTACACCCCCAGGTTACCTACCAGCTCATCTTAGTTTTCTAAATGGTGCATGGGGTAGGGGGAGAGCTGATGTTGGGATCTGGGAGTGAGAGGTGAGAATCTTTTGACAGTCCTGAATCAAAGGTAAGAACTTTGACCTACCACCCAGCACTAAATGTTCACCAGTCCGTATCTGTTAGATTGTTTGCTGTCTGTAGGGAGCGGCACAACTCAAGGAAAAGGAAAAGGAAGAGGAAGAACTTTATGGGATTTTAAACTAGAAACTGAAGTGTATGTTTCTTCAAGGAACTGTAGGACCTGAATGGGTCACAAGGGGGTAGTAGAGGCAAACATGAAATCAGAACCCGCTTATCCACACCTGTCCTGTCTTTACTCCTGTCTTTAGAAAAGCATTAGTTAATCTTAATTTTTTTTTTTTTTTTTTTTTTGGCTCTGGGGAAGAAGCTTCAATATCAATGGGGCAGAAATGAGGGGTGGAACAGAAAAGTGGGAATTTGAGGGGAAAGATACAGGTCAAGACAATGGGTAGGAGCAGAAGACTGGAAAAGGTGGGCATTTGTTGGGGAGAAGATGGGTGGTGAAAGTGACTGAAAACCAGGGTGGAAAGTGTGCCTGAGATAAATAGGAGATATTTGAAAGCCAGAGTTCTCACTCTAGAGAGAAGGGACATATGTACATCTACCAATCTCTATTCTCTCTTGTCTTTCTACCGGTAGACATAGATATAGGCAAAGAAGGAAGGAAATTGTTCCACACAGTCTGATATCTAGGAGGGATGTCTAAGTCAGAATATAAGGCCTAGAGGCAAATCAGTTTCTCCATCTCTCGGCCTTTGTTCTCCTCCCCTCTCACTTTGGTGCAGGGAAAATCAAATGTTGTACCTCTGAGAAAATAAGCTTAAGGGAGGAAAAAAAACAGAGTAGAAATGTTTGACAATTAAGACCCTAAATCAAAAAAGAGAGATGTTGATACCCTTGTAACCTGAGTTTTGACATGTGTATCTGTGGAGACTTAGATCAAAGCTCTGAATGTTTGCACTGCCCCTAGTACCATGTTGAATGGCAGTTACTGCGGTTTGTGTCCAGGAAAAGACAGCCCCAAAATCTTCTTCCTAGAACATCACAACCAGATGGCATTTTCAAGTGTAGGAACATTCTGTGACTTGTCATACATGTGGGATATACTCAAATTAGTTATTTAGTGCAAGCAAGTCTGGAGGTCAGGGCTAGAAGTTGCTAGTGTTCACCTACTAATCCAGAGAGAGTGCAACCACAATAAGAAAAGAAAACAAAAAAACAGAGGCCCTAGCCAGTTTTGCTCAGTGGTTAGAGCATCAACCTGCGGACTGAAAGGTCCTGGGTTCGATTCCGGTCAAGGGCACTTACTTCGGTGGCAGGCTTGATCCCCGGCCCCAGTTGGGGCTCATGCAGGAGGCAACCAATCGATGTGTCTCACTCACATAGATGTTTCTCTCTCCCTTCCACTCTTTTGGAAAAGTAATGGAAAAAATATCCTCAGGTGAGGATAAAAATAAAAAAAAGAAAAGAACAGAGGAATAGAGAACTTAAGTCAGGGGTAAGGATAGGTAAGGGCTCTGGACCTTAGTCAAAGATACAGGAAAAGCCCAGTCCCAGGGATAAGGTTAAAATAAACTGCAGCCAGTAAGGAACCAAGGAGTCCCCAAAAGGACATGGTCCTAATAAAGAAGAATCACAATTTCCCCAATGGAAATTATCAGTTTTTTTGTGATACTTAAGATATTTAAAATGTCACTTGTGCCCGGATGGGTGTGGCTCAGAGGTTGAGCGTCGACCTAGGATCCAGGAGATCGGGGTTGGATTCCCGGTCAGGGCACATGCCTGGGTTGCGGGTTCGATCAATGACTCTCTCATCATTGATATTTCTATCCCTCTCTCTCCCACTTCCTTTCCTCTCTCTGAAATCAATAAAGATATATTTTTAAAAATAAATAAATAAATAAAATAAAAAATAAAATGTCACTTGTGTCCTTGGCCTCTCCAAGGGTCCTTTCATTCAGGGAAAAATGTTGTTTGCTCAGCCTGAGGATGCTGGTTTTTCATTTAGCCGCAATATCAATAGTCATTTGGCCAGCCTCTTCATTGTTGGAAACACGATCCCCACTCCTGACCCCACTGTTAAGGAGGCTTTATGTGCCCTGGATAACGTGAATGCCAGTGTGGAAAATAAGGGCCAGATTAAGATGTACATCAATGAAGTGTGTCGGGAAACTGTGTCACATTGCTGCAACTCATTTCTGCAGCAGGCCGGATTAAATTTGTTAATAAGCATGACAGTTATTAATAACATGCTTGCCAAGTCCGTTTCAGACCTGAGGTTTCCTTTGATATCAGAGGGAAGTGGATGTGCTGAGGTTCAGGTTTTGAAACCGTTGATGGGTTTGTCTGAAAAGCCAGTCTTGGCAGGGGAATTGTTGGGCCCCCAGATGCTGCTCTCATTCATGTCCCTCTTTATCAGGAACGGAAATGGACAGGTTCTCCTGGACACCCTGGCCTCTTAAATGGCCATCTCGAACAGAATGGGACTGAATCTACCCAAAACCCGTTTGGTGAACACTCACTTGTGTTCTCATTCAAAGACTCTGCAGTGGGTGCTATAGAAGATCCAGCCTTAGCCAATCACCACACCATGGGGTGAAAGTTACACTTGCTAAATCGAGGACCATGCTCTTATTGGTGGGGCAGGGGTTCCCACAGAGCTTTGAGTAGCTTCTTGGTTTTGCAGTCTACAGGCAATGTGCATTGTAAATTACTCCCTTACTTCTTCCTGTGGTAAAGGGCTCATTTCAGCTGCCAGCTGTGGATAAAGCATCATGAAGGATGCTTGCCTGTGGTGGTCTCCCTGTCTAAGCTGGACTGTTTTGTGGAGACCAGACACATATCAGAGCTTATGCTGAAAATGCATTTGTTGCTGCATAGGTTGAATTCTTTTTCGTTTACTCTTTCCTCTACACCAGTTGATGGATGGTGAACCTATTCATCAGAAAAGTGCACTCCCTTTCTATGTGCTGTACTGACATAACCTCATCCACCCAAGTCTACATTTGTATGTTTCATCAATAAACTTGTGTGCTTCGACTGGCAAAAATGAGACATGGTACTTGTCCTTGAGTTGACAGTCTGCATGAAGAGAAAGACAAAACTACAGGATAAATGCTAACTAACTGGGGCGGGGAGGGGGGAAGGGGGGCATTTGCTCCAACAAATGCACTCTCATCAGTGCTCACAGAAGGCAGGGGTAGAAACATCAAC